AAGGGAGAGCATGGGTGTAGACATGATTATTCTAAAAAAAATTAAGAAATTTTGAGGTACTGCCGAGTTCTTTAACTGTGAACAGGTTTTGCACCAAGATACATTTTTAAATCTTTCTAGTTATGTTACTGAAATCTATCAAGCAGAATAGCAAGGTGTTTATATATTGTGTGCTTGCTTTCTCTAATCAGGAATTTGTAAATCTCCCTAATTCTGGTAAAATATTGCCCTCAGTGAGCTAGATGAACAGATGTTTGTTTGATTCCAGCGTCATGTTAATCCGTTTAGTAGAGATGATGGTAACTTGACAAACTGGGAAGGATAGCAGTCCTGGATTAAGGAGTTATAAAACTGTTTCTATTTATCCCATGCTTAGGCTGACTGGCAAATGCTGTTTGAATGCCTGTAGCTTCCTGTTCTTTAATTTTACGAATGTCTAATCCCTTTTTTAAAACTTTGTTTAAAACTCTTTTAAACTTCTAAAAAGATAAAACTGACTGGCAGTCTAATGTAGTGCCTGTTGTAAACGTCGGGCCAGCTAATGAAGCGAGTAGCATATTGTCAGTAGCAAGGGACCTCCAGCGACCATCTGTTCCGACTGCCTGACCGCTGCAGGGCTGACCAAAAGCTAAAGCGTCTTGTGGAGAGCAGTGTCCAAATGCCTCTGCAACACTGACAGGCCCGGGGCACCCCCCGCCTCTGGGAAGCCCGTTCCGTGCTTGGCCACCCTCTCGGTAAAGAAATGCTTCCCTGTGTCCAGTCTGAGCCTCCCCCGGCGCAGCTCTGAGCCGTTCCCACGCGTCCTCTCGCTGGACGCCGGGGAGGAGCGCTCGGCGATGCTTTCAGTTAATTGCTGAAAAGTAAAATGAAATCCCAAAAGAGTGTAGTGGCAGTGAAGAATTGCAAATGATGCTTCTCACAAATTTGTGTCTCGCTTACGTGCACGGGTTACGCCGGAGCTTCAGGAGGCAGCTTGTAATGTACATAATCCCTTTCTCTTTTCGTACTCTGTTTTCAATCTTGCCTGCGTTATAACTTTTAAACTGCTACCTCGTGCATTCTGAGTGTTTGGCACTGAATGCTAGCGTGTTTAGTTTATTTAACCTACTGGGAGTTCCTGGTGCTCTAGGCACAACACGTTGGGTTTTCTAGCAGGTATTCACCAAACAGAGCCCCCTCAAATATATTTGGGGATTACTGATCCCATCTGGCAGAAATAAAAAGAACACTCGTTGTCATTTCCATAGGAAAAATGGGAAAGTATCAAGTATTTTCTGTAAATTCTTGCGAAATCCTTCAGCCTTTTTAAATTAAAATGAACAAGATTTTAAAAGGGGAAAAAATAGTTGCCTGCCTCTTGTGCCTTACAGTGAGTGGGGCCCGGATTTTGTTCTCAGTTCCTCCCTAAGTAACATCAAAGGGGATGTGTTTGACACGGCTAAGGAGATGCTCCTCGGCTTCAGCGCAGTGATGAACATTGCAGGGAACTTTAAAAGGCGCTCGTTGTTAAATACGTGTGCGCGCAGAGGAGCTTTAAACAGAATATCTCTAAAGCCTGGCGAGCAGTGTTAAAGTTCACCTCTGGACATGAAGTCATCGCTAGATTTTTTTGATGTTCCTGTGTACAGGGGTGAGTTTTGCTGTTAGACGTCACATACATTAAATAAAAAAAGCTGTATCGCATAACCTGCTGAGCTCATTATATTGATAAACTACATGGATTTTACGTATAGGAATCCATAATATATACTCATATCTCGCAAAAGAAGCGAAGCCTTTGTGATAGGAAATCCTATTCTGAAGCAACAGCTGTTAGATCTCGTGGAAGAATATTACGAAAATCCAAGCACTGTGGTTAAAACTTGGCAAGCCAGCAGTCTAGAAACGGATGGATGTGCACATACCGGGTCACTGCAAACCAGCAGTTTGGTTTTGTCCCACCAAAAGAAAAAAGAATCAAGATACGGAATTTCATGACGCTCTCTTCAGTGCCGATGAAAACTGTAGGCTGAGCTCCTGCTTACGGCACTGAAGTCTCACGTTGCTTGCAAGTGTTACGAACAGAGCAGGAGAGAAGTCTGAACAGTTGCTTTCTTGCTGGTTTGCACCCCACGGTGGAATTCAGCTTTGTCTGTTCTGTGGTCAGAAGCTTAAAACCAAACAAAACTTTTGAACGTCTTATTTCTGCCTCTGTGCCCAGAGCCAGAGGAGAACAGACCTATTACAAAGGCTTCTCTGCGAAGTAAATGCATTAGGGCTTTTGTAGAGAGCGCTCGCCATCAGCTTGCTTCGCTTCCTCTGTTCTAGGGACACGTAGGTAAACTAACTGTGTCGTTGTCTGTCCGTCCACCAGAGACACAGCAGGACCAGACCTACAAAGATGACAGTGACGCTGCAACTTTCAAGCAAACCCTCCCAGATCTCACCCCCGATGAGCCTTCGGAAGCACTCGGCTTCCCTCCCTTAGGGAAGGAGGAAGGGAGATGTGATGAAGATGTGCCCAAAAGCCAAACGGAATCGCCTGCAGTGGAAACCAAGGAACCCCAGCCTCAACCCGCTGAAGAGCCGGTAACGCCAACAGCTGAGGAGGGGACAGCGGCTGATGCAGGCAGTGATGAATCTCCAGGGAAGTCCCCGTCGAAAAAGAAAAAGAAGTTTCGCACTCCTTCCTTCCTGAAGAAGAGCAAAAAGAAGAGTGACTCCTAAAGGCCACACACACTGCAGAAACACTGTCATATTTTAGAATTCATTAACCACTAGAATGTACCAGATCGTACTGAGTGTTTTGTCTTATTACGTAAATGAATGCAGCAAGTAATCCAACCAGCCCCTCCAGTTACGGCTTGATTGTTTAAGGTTATAACCAGAAACTAATGTCCAGAAAGGTGCTAATCCTGTGTTTTCAGCAGCTGCCATAGATCTGACCCCTAACCTGCAATCAGATGTAAGCGACTTCTGTGTGGAAGGCATTGAATCACTATTTTTAATTTGAAGCCCGCACTGTTTTGCAAAAGAACAAAAAAAATCCCTCACAATTAAAAGCAAACCACACATCGCTCGCCACGAGAAGTGGCCTCTTCCAATATTCTGTTCCAAGTCACAGGTAAATTACACCTTCGATATTGACTTTTAGAGAGGATGCTTTTGCAGTGCTGATCCCAAGGGGGACGTATTCCTGAACTGACAAACGTCTGCAAGCTTGTGATTGCCGACCACCTCTTAGTGGGACGTATTCCTGAACTGACACGTAAATGTCTGCAAGCTTGTGATTGCCGACCACCTCTTAGGCAGGCTTCCAGGCTCTCCACGCCTTCCTCGCTTTCTCCCCTCTGGCTATTGTAACAAAATGAAGGTGTTTTCCACTATCTTTTATTTTACAACTGGCACTCGAAATCATCTTTGGTGTTGAGGACTGAAGTAAGCGTGGTGTGTTCTGCTCATGCTGTGTCTTGGAAGAGCCCGATTTTTTTTATTTTATTTTTTTTTTTTTCCCCCCCTAGTGAATGCAGCTCAAGGGGGCTCTGTCTGTCCGTCTTGCCTCCCTGAATGGGTCCTGTGGCAATTTGGCTGTCAGAAAAGGTTAAAAAGTAACAGAAGTATTTCCAAAGCTTTGCAGCTGGTGGTGTGAAGCATGGGCAGTTGTATCTTGGGCCTTAGCGCGGGGTTTTCTCACCCGCTGAAGTCCCTGGGGCGCACATGCAAACCTGTTGCATATGGAGCCTGTTTGTGGCCTTTGGCGTTTGTCCCTTCCCGTGCTGAAAGTGTAAAGGCATTACCCTCAATATTTAACCTTTTTTTTTTTTTTTTTTTTTTTAAATATGAATTACTTTCACTTACAAGAACTGGTGTTTCTCTAATTTTTTTTTTGTTGTTGTTGCCAGCAGTGAAGTACGGAAATCCCAAGTAACCTTCAAGGTGTATTTTCACAGATCGCTATAAATGTTTGTTTAATGTGCAGCATGGTAAAGAAAATCACTTCCACCACTGAGCTCACTGTTCCGCAGCTGCCGCCACGCTTCTGTCTGTCACTGTACAAGCAGCGTAAGGTCAGGTAGGTGAAGCTTGCAAGAATTCTCCAGAAACTGCGCGCAGTTACCCCGGCCGGCGGCGGGGGAGGTCGGGGCCCTTCCCGCGCTC